TCTGAATAAACACTGAGTTGAAAGAATATATGCACCTCCGTGTTCGTTGCAACATTATTTACAATAGCCAAGATTTGGAAGCAGCCAAAGTGCCCATCAGTAGATGAGTGAACAAAATAGCAGTGGTACATTTACACAATGGAATATTATTCAGCCACAAAAATGACAGCATGGATGGACCTGGAGAGCATTATGCTAAGTGAAATAAGCCAGTCAGAGAAAGAAAAGTACCACATGATCTCACTCATTTATGGATAATTAAGACCATTATAAACTGATGAGCAAAAATAGATACAGAGGCAGAGCACCATCGAACAGACTGTCAAACTACTGCGGGAAGGCTGGAGTGGTTGGGGGTGGGGGAGGGAAGAGATAAACCGAAGTACTTGTATGCATACATACGAGCATAACCAATGGACACAAGACACTGGGGGGCATGGGATATATTTTAAAAAAAGAAGGGGGAAAAAGGAGACATATATAATACTCCTTGTAATACTTTAAGCAATAAAACAAAATTAAAAAATAAATAAATAAAATTACTGTAAACAAAAAAGGAATCCTGGAGTATGAGTGTGTGTGTGTGTGTGTGTGTGTGTGTGAGTGTGTGTGTGTGTGTGTGTGTGTTTGTGTGCTCCCAAAACTCCTGAAAAGGTAGGCAAAAGTGAGATTACAGAATAAAAGTTTTAGCTCTATGGTCTAACTTAACAAACAACATAGCATATCAGGTTCTTCCAGATGAGTAAATTATGTTCTGAGTGTGTTAAAGTCCTTTGCCACTTTGGAGAGTGGAGGAAAGTTTGGAGGGCATGAGAAGAGGCATTAACTCCTTAAAGGTATTTGAGTATTATTACATAGACGGTGAGGAATAGGTTATTCCAATAGGCTTAGACAACAGAATTACTCTGTTAAAAAGGAATTTTGGTAAATTATTTATATTTTCAACTCTTGTTATTTAAAGGAATCCTATAATAGAGCCTTCTTAAAAGTAAGATATATTCTCCATTCACAATTCATCCATACTTTTGCAAATTTTCTTTGTACAATGTGACAGGCAGTTGTAATAATTTAGTAAATGGTATCAAAAAGTAGAGGCACTTTCCAAAGGCCTCACATAATTAACAGAGATCTTTTGCTCAACTGAGATGTATCTGGCCCAAAGAGAACATATGAAGCCGTGGCTTCACATTATAGTGATGGATTTGGTTCTTTGACACTGAGTCAACATATACTCTCTTCTGAGATGTAGTCACAGATGCATTGCAAAAAATGTGGCACCATAAAGAACTGACCTGCTTAGCACCTGGCTTCTGCTCCATTGGCGTCATGGTGAGTGTTTTGGTCTCTTTCTCATACTGGCAGTAGTATTTCACCCAGGATATTCCCAAAGCCCCTAGAAAAAGAGGCAAAAGTGAGATAACAAATTAATTTTTTGGCTGCATGGTCAGTCAGACCCCAAGATGGAAGCTATGTACACCTTGACCTTCAGGGTCATGCTCCAGATCCACCCCTATACATATGGAGATCAGAAACCTTATCAACTCTTTCCACATCTGCTAAGGCTTGCTCCAAATCATACACCTTGCCATGTTCCCTATGAATGCTGCCACTACACATCTTATTGCATAAGCTGGAACCTTATCATCCACAGACATTCAATACAAAGTGGCTTTTTATGATATTACTAGAGGTCCGGTGCACAAAATTTGTGCATGGGGGGTACCCTCAGTCCAGCCTGCACCCTCTCCAATCCGGGACCCCTTGGGGGATGTCCAACTGCCAGTTTATGCCCCCCTGCCACTGCCTGATCGCCCCTTACTGCCTCTGCATGCTGGCCTGGTTGCCCCTAACTGCCCCCCTCTGTTGACCTGGTCGCTCCAAACTGCCCCCCCCCCCCGCCGGCCTAGTCACCCTCACTGCCCCCCTGCCAGCCTAATCACCCCTAACTTGCCCCCCTGCTGGCCTGGTCACCTCCAACTGCACCCCCCACCGGCCTGGTCACCCCTAACTGCCACCCACCTCACGGCCTGATTATCCCACGCAGCCTGCTTGTTCAGTCATTTGGGCATCCCTTACTAACCCCTTTGCCGGCCTGGTCACCCTATGCAACCTGCTTATTCAGTCGTTTGGTCATCCCTCACAAACCCCCCTGCCGGCCTGGTTGCGACATGCAGCCTGCTTGTTCAGTCATTTGGGCATCCCTTACTAACCCCTTTGCCGGCCTGGTCACCCTATGCAACCTGCTTATTCAGTCGTTTGGTCATCCCTCACAAACCCCCCTGCCGGCCTGGTTGCGACATGCAGCCTGCTTGTTCAGTCATTTGGTCATCCCTTACTAACCCCTTTGCCGGCCTGGTCACCCTATGCAACCTGCTTGTTCAGTCGTTTGGTCATCCCTCACAAACCCCCCTGCCGGCCTGGTTGCTACATGCAGACTGCTTGTTCAGTCATTTGGTCATCGCTCGCTAACCCCTCTTCTGGCCTGGTCATAGGCAGTCATCTTGTAAGGGTGTGAGGGTTAATTTTCATACTACCTTTTTATTATATAAAATCATTGTCTCGTTTATTATATTATTTGCCTTTCTAGAGCACAAGTTAATGATAGGAACTAAATCAGAAAACTGACAAGAGGAAGTCATTTATGCTTTCAACATTGTACTAAAGCTTTATGTTTTCATGTCTGATTTCCCTACTTGACTGAGAAATCCTCAAGAACTTTGGCAATGTTCCTACTTCACTGTAATGTGCCCCATTTAATTGGTGGTTGGGTTCTGCCCATTCTACCCCCTAAATGTCTGTCTTTCAGCAGTCTCATAGTCCCCATCTCTTCTAGAACTAAATTAGTCCCACACCCTATTGCTGACTTATCTTTGTCATGTTTTATAAGATATTTTAAGCAAAATTAATCATAATTTTTCCAAGTAATTATTTCAGTGACCTTCTCTTTGGTTTCCCCTATCTCTGTTCTAGTCCATTATTTCTAGTCCATTCTCTACTCTTTTGTTAGAGGAATATTTTAACTATATATCTCTATTATTTTTCTCATTATAAACCACCCATGATTTTTCCATTATCTGAAAACTCCTTAGGTTGGCCCACAAAGCACTTCATGTTATGATCATATTTTGCTGTTTCAACGTTGCCTTTTCTAATTTTATCTGTGTTCCAGTCTCATTGAATTACTTTCAGTTACCAAATAAATATGTAACCTTATAATTTACCATCCATATTCAAAATATATTTAAGAGTGAATGGGGCACCACTGTTAATTACATCAGGACAACAGATATAAACCACGACTATATTTGGCAAATCAAGACTCTACAAATAAACTATATCCTCACACACCTCTGTGCCTTTATTCATGCAGTGGTATACACCTGGAGTTTTATTTCCCTTTTTCTTTTTCTTTTTTGATTTTTATTTTTTATTTATTTTTTTAATCTTTATTGTTCAGATTATTACATTTGTTCCTCTTTTTTCCCACCATATCCCCTCCACCCGGTTCCCACCCCACCCTCTGCCCTTA